GGCCAATCAGCTTCTCTCTTTCATTTTCAAATCTTAACTGAACAAACTAAGAATGGAAGCTGATTGGTTGCCGTGCACAGCTGCTCCGGTTTTTATAAATACCCCTCCGTGAAATGTCCATGTTTCAGAAAGCTGCGAGAATGGTTTTTCAGACTTTGCCCTGACGTACATTATAAGGACGCGCTCGTATTCCGATTACAGAAAACGAGGCAACAACATGCAACACACGAGACACAGACAGCACTCTGAAATCACCTCTGTCCGGGGCTTCCGCACATCTCGGCGTAGTACTTGATCTTTGGTTCTGTCCCGCTTCTCCTCAGGGTGGCCACACAACCGTTCTGAAAGGTGAAGGTGATCATCTGGCTGCTCTTACTCACCGGAAGCAACTGCAAGAGAAGAGGGAAAGGTGAGAACAACATGGCCGCCAGACACTGAGATCTACTCAGGTCATAAATAACAATCAGGAAGAGTCTGCACACTCTGAATGGAATACAATGTGAGGAAGAAAGGAGTGATCGCTAGATATAGATCAGGGGACTCTAAGTAGCAGCCTGCAGGACATTTGCAGCCCGGTTACTTTTGGCCCACAGGCAGGGCTGTCTATAGGCCTGCTGAAAACTGGAAACAAGATGTCACGACATCAGGAGGCGGGGCAACCACAGGGTCCTCGTGTTCCAATTTCAGTACATGGAGGAGGTACGGGACACGGAGATGTCGAAACACAGGGTGCAGATAAGTCTGGGAGACAGGTGTTCGGCTTCCTCTACCCCCTGGCTGTCTCTACCGGCCCTCTCTCCCCCGGACCGTCTCCTCTGGCCCTCTCACCTCGGACCTCTCTACTACGGCCCTCTCTCCCCTGGACCATCTCCTCTGGCCCTCTCACCTTGGACCTCTCTCCTCTGGCCCTCACCTTGGACCTCTCTCCTCCGGCCCTCTCTCCCCTGGACCGTCTCCTCTGGCCCTCTCACCTCGGACCTCTCTCCTCCGGCCCTCTCTCCCCTGGACCGTCTCCTCTGGCCCTCTCACCTCGGACCTCTCTACTACGGCCCTCTCTCCCCTGGACCATCTCCTCTGGCCCTCTCACCTTGGACCTCTCTCCTCTGGCCCTCACCTTGGACCCCCTTGGGCCTCTCTCCTCCGGCCCTCTCTCCCCTGGACCGTCTCCTCTGGCCCTCTCACCTCGGACCTCTCTCCTCCGGCCCTCTCTCCCCTGGACCGTCTCCTCTGGCCCTCTCACCTCGGACCTCTCTCCTCCGGCCCTCTCTCCCCTGGACCCTCTCCTCTGGCCCTCTCTCCTCTGGCCCTCTCTCCCCTGGACCGTCTCCTCTGGCCCTCTCACCTCGGACCTCTCTCCTCCGGCCCTCTCTCCCCTGGACC